ATAGAATAATATTATATACTTTTTAAAAGCTATATATGTTTTATGAATGTTAACATATCAATTGCATATTGCTGAAATTGTTAGAAGTGAAAATTAAATCTTTATCGGATCTATAAAATTAAGCCAATTAAGAAATGAGATTATGAAAAATTAGTAAATTAAAGTAATGAAAGAGTGGATATAGAGTTTGTTATTTATATTAATAATTTGTTATGTATTCATTATTTATATAAACTATTTATTTTTAATATGTGCATCAATTTATTTTGTCATAGATTACCCTTATTCGTGGTATGAAGACATAACAAGTTCCTCACGGTTTTATGCACTTGCAGCTGTATATGGTGGAGTAATAATTGGGCTTATTGTTGCGGAAATAAAGCCTTATGCCAAGCTGAACACAGAGGATCGTGGTATTTTATGTTCGAGTTTAGGGAAAGATTGTTTAGTAGGTTACATTCTTAGTTTAGGGGTGCGTCGTGCATATAGAAGGAATGGAATTGCTTCATTATTGTTGGAACAATTACTTGCACATGTTACCGCTCCAGAACGTTCTTCCGTAAAAGCAGTCTTCCTACATGTTTTATCTAGCAATTCACCTGCTATTTTGTTTTACCAGAGATGTCATTTTCGTTTGCATAGTTTCTTACCGTATTATTATTCGATTCGTGGTAAATGCAAAGACGGCTTTACATATGTCCTTTATGTTAACGGAGGACACGCGCCATGGGGTATTTGGGATTGGTTACGTCATCTAGCAAGTGCAATGGCTAGTCTTGGACCATGCAGAGTTCCACGATGGATTTGGCGGCGGCTTCTTTGGGCTACTACTATTCTTTCATATCAGAGATGATACATTTTGACAACTACCAATGTTAAACCAAATACTTGTTTCTCTTTATGTTTTGAAATGTGTACGTATTTGCCAATCGGATGTTATGCCTGTTCGAGCAATAAAATTATTAACTTCATAATTATTTTTAAAATCTTATGAATTAAGTAATTGTAAAAACTAAATTAACCCTGATGAGACAATACTTGGATTAGCAAGTATCAATTTATACTTGGTTGATAATGACACAACTGAAAATTTGTATAGTATTTTCTTTATAAGAAATGACGAATTTAAAGTTTTGTGATTCTTTCACCATGGAACATATTGAATTATCTATCTTACTATTTAAGATAAATGGACATACAACATGGAACATCCAACTGCCAGGGCATTTGATCAGTTCAAAATAATGTTATCTAAATATTCTTTTATGTATAATACATAATATAAAATTTTATATTTTGTTTATTACATTTACTGGCTGATCTATAAGATTAAGGCACAATTGTAGAAATGGATAAGGGATATACAAATAATGAAATATGTCACAAATACAAAGACTATTTGAGCTAATTCATACAGTTCAGGAACAAAATCAAATAGAATAAAACTGTACATACGTTTTGTTTCTTTATTTTTATGTAATTAATTTATTCACGGAGTCATTCACGTATTATGAAAAGCCCTCAGATTAAAATTTGTTATAAATCAAACTGAATACCAGTAATGGATTACAATTTCAACGCAAAATTTATGTTTGAAATCACTCCTCATTATACTAGTCTTTCTCATCTATGTTGTCATTGTATAGTATCAATGAATCTAAAAAAAATAGACAATTGCAACTGTTGCTGTAATAGGTTGTTCCTTTCTTCAGCCTTGGTAGTGCTATACTAATTTGCTTTTAATTATGTGTTCATTTAAGTGCCATTATTTAAATTAAGTTCTTACATTGTAATTGTACTGAATTGGTTGGCAACTATATTTCTTAATTAAGAAATATTTTAATGTATTGTGCGGCAAATCAATTACGATTTTTTGTTTTTTTATGCTCACTGTTAGGTCTATATTTACTTCAATGATACACAAAAAATTACTACTTAAGTTGATTCTAGAATTTCAAATTACTCCATAATCTGTATTCTATATTAACAATCTAATGTTGTAAGTTCCTTGAAGTCGTCACTATTGTTTGCTACTGAGAATGTGTAATAATCATAGTGGTAACATTTGAAATAAGGTGCTGAAATCAATACTTCCATTGTGCTTTTCTCAGAATATTAAGCAAAATAAGTCCAATCCAGTCATGTTGTTTTAAGTATTGATAATATTAGTATATCTACTTTATTGTAATGTATTAAATTTTACATTGTCGTCTTTAAAATACTTTTTTCGGTTATTT